CATAAGGAGCTGTTTGGAGGAAGGAATGAACCAAGTAGACCCTCTAACTGATGACGAGGGCCCCTCTGCCCCAGTCAGATGGGCCTCCTGGTGGGGACCCCACCTAAGAGCCCCAGGGCCAAGTTTTGAGAGATGGGGAGGAGGGGGACCCTCGGCACCTGGGAGAACCACCCTGGCCTGGCAGGCCAGCTTGCCTTGTAAGAGCTAAAAAGTGAGCTCTATATCAGAGCCTCCTTCATTCCACTTCCCTGACTTGGGGCTCCCAAGTTTCCCGGTCTAATTCTTTGTCACCTCCAGTAACTGAGCAGGACCCTATGGGCCTGTCCCAGGAGAGATCCCTCTCCCCATGTCCTCTGCCTGCCTCTTATTTGTAGAAAATCTGTAGTCTCCCAGGCTTCCCCTGAGTCACAAAAGCCTGGCTCAAGAATCAATGCAAAAATAGCAGTTGGGCCAGGAGAACTGGTCAGAATTTAAACAGTAAATCAGCAATATGGCAGTCACAGAATGTTTAGTTCCTCCCTGAAGTACCTAGATAATAGTATATGATGCACATTTCCTGAGTTGTTTTACAGATGCTAAAAGCCCCACCGAATGAAAGAAATTAAGTACTTGATGATCACGAGCACGTGGTCCCCAGATCTCCCGGAGCCTGAGGATTGATAATGTTGTGACACTGCCCTGCTACCTCACTACCAGCCAATCAGAGAACTGTGCCCAAGCTGATCACACACCCTGCAACTCCCCTCCCTCACCTGGCCTTTAAAAATGTTCCCCTGAAGCCCACTGGGCAGTTTGAGCCTTTTGAGCATGAGCCACCTGCTCTCCTGGCACGGCCCTTGCAGCAAACCTTTCTCTGCTCCAAACTCTGATATCCCCTTTGTTTGGCCTTACTGTGCGTCAGGCACACAAACTTGGATTCAACACCACTCCCCGGTCTTGCCAGATCCCTGAAGCCCAAAACAGTTTCTAAATTGCAAGCTGACACAGAGAAAGATAAACACCGTGTGATATCACTTCTACGTGGAATCTAAAAAATCCAACAAACTAGTGAATAAAACAGAAGAGAAGCAGACTGACAGATACAGAGAACAAATTAGTGGTTCCCACGGGGAAGTGGGAAGAGGGGAGGGGCAAGGTAGGAGTAGAGGGGAAAAGGGGAGTTATAATAGGACTATATGAAATCGTGTGTCTGAAACTTCTGAAAATTATAAAGCAGTATAGCGTTAAAAGAATCTTCCATTCAATAAAGAAAAAAATTTTAATTTTTCAATATGGCTGAATTTTCAAAATAAATAAATTGCAAGCTGATGACCTTCTCAGCGAGGTCAAATACACTTAATTAAAGGCACTCCTAAAATTCCCCAACCCCCACCTCTCAGCTTCCCTGCTCGTTCTACTTCCTGCCTGGGCCCAGGACCCTAACACCAAGAGCCCCACCCTAACCCTTAGACACTCCACGCGCCCTCACACAACGGCTTTGCTATTTACGGCTTGATTTGGAGCCTGCCATAATATCAATGAATGTCTGGTTTTTATTTTGTGGGGTTTCCTCATCTTCTGAGTTTTCAATGACCAGAGTATCAGGAGAGCTGAAGAGCTTTGGCCTTTGGAAAGGGTCTGATACTGGGTAAGTTGCAGCAGCTCCCTGCCTCAGTTTCCCTATATGTGAGACAGACATGATCACTCTTACCTTTGGTTTTAAGGCAATCTTTAAAATGACAGGTTCCACACATTCTGGCTTTTCTGGGACAACCCTGATTTCAAGTATTTTGTCCCTATTGTCAGATCTTATGTCTGATCCTATGATCTGATTTGGAATCCGAAAATACAGCCTTGAGAGTATTATGAATTCCTTATTCCAGAAATGGGCTGGAATTTTCTTTACTAATAAGTGAATAAAAAACATTCTGATTCTGGGGGCTGGCCTGAAACCTGCTTTCTGAATGACAGAACGTGTCATTCTGCCTAACGGGAATACAGCTGTGTCACTGGAGGCCCTTCCTGGGGGGGCTCTGGGAGACCCTCAGTGTTCAGTCCCTGTCTTGTCCACCCAGAGCACTGGACACAGGAGAGGCCTACTCACCTGCCCAGAGCATCCACAGCACAGACTGCATCTTCCTCTCCGTGGTCTTGCTTCCTCTCTGCCCCTAGTCCAGCCTGGCACGGGTGGGCCCCAGAATTTAACCAGCCTGAGCTGACTCGCTAAAGCTCCAACAGCCTCTGCCCGGCCCAGCCTTTGGTCCCTGTGGCTTCTCTCTTCCTGTCCACCTCTGCCCAGCCTGGCCCCCACACCCCACCCCTCAGCTGGACTGACAGGTGAGCTCACCTGTGGGACTGGACTCCTGCTCCACCTACGCCACCAAAGGCCCCAACAGGAACCTTTTCCACCTTCTCAGTTACCTCCCCTGCATTCTCTCCGCTTAGCAGGTGTACAAAGTCCTGGGCTTCTCGCTATAATGTGGGCTTCTCCTATAAGGAGCAGGAAGTTGCCGCCTCATAATACAAAGGGAAATAATCTCAGAGGAAGGGTTTCAAAGCCAATAAAAAAAAGGGTGTTGCCCACAATTGCTGAAATACTTCAAGGCATATAATATTTTTGTAACTTCTTTTTTGAGGGAGAAGTAATTAAGTTTATTTTTATTTATTAACGGAGGCACTGAGGATTGAACCCAGGACCTTGTGCGTGTTAAGAACATACTCTACCACTGAGCCATACCCTCCCCATCTCAAGGCATATAACATGATCCGTTCCTCTGCTTCCCTTCCTTGCTTGCTTTCCCCACCCAACTCAAGCTCAAGACATAGTCAAGAAGAAAACCGGAGGTGTCTGCCCGCAGGGAGTTGATACTCGGGTCGGGGAGAATGCTAGTACACAAATAAACAAGACAGTATTAGAAATACCATGACCAACTTGTCTCAGTTTGCTTGAAACTATCCCAGTTTTAATTCATTTAACTTAAAAAAAAAAAGAACTGCCCCACTTTTAAAACAGAAGGTCCTATATCCCAGGAACCTCTCAGTCCCAGGCAAACTGGGATGGCTGGTCACTCTACTTCAAGAGTGTTAGTGCTACGGGGAACATAACCTGGAAAACGGCCTAGGTAAGGAAACTGGGGCAGCGGAAGGGGGCCCCACCTTAGACTCGGTGGTCAGAACAAAATGGGGAAGTGAGTTTTGTGATTCTCTATTTTACAAACACGGATGTGAGTCTCAAGGAATTTAACTGAGATCTCCAAGGTCACATAGCTAGTAAGTGGTTTCGTGATTTCTAGTCTACCACTCCAGTGGTCCAGATGTCACCCTCTGTGAGTTCAGGGGTGGTGACAAAGGGTATAAAGAAGACAGAGGCCCTCTGTCCTCTCTCCTCCTGAGTGGTTCCCTCCTTATCTGTTGCCCATCTTAGATGTGTTAGCTCTCCATCTTTCCCTCTCCACCTCCCACCCACCTTCTGCTTCCCCATGCTGGGGCTCTGTCATCTTGAACCTTGCCCTGACAGATGCCATCCTTCAGTCCTTCCCTTCCCCTTCCCTCCCTCCCTCGTCCATCTCACCTCTCTGTCATACCACCTTTCATCCTTATGGAACCTTGAAGTCTGGAGCTGAGTTGAAGCCCCGTGGTTACTCAGTTGTGGTCATTCTTCCATTCTTCAGCAGTCACTCACTAAGCCCCTATTTTGACACCAGGATAGTGGTTTGGCAACTGGTCACTGGTGGTGCCATGACCCTCCTCAAAGATGCCTTCCTGGACCACTCTATCCAAAGAGCCCCCATCCCAGCTCCGCCAAGTCTCTGCACATAATTCTTTCTTTCTTCAGAGCTCTAACCACTATATAAAACTAATTTTTGCCACCCCAGAACTCTGTCTACGCCATCCCTTCTGGAATGCCTCCCCGCTACCATATCTGCTGTTATAATCCAACATGCGCTTTAAAAGCCGGCTCATATATTATCTGTTCTTTCATGAAGCCTTTCCTGACTACTTCAGCCAGAAGGGCTCTCTTCCTCCTTTGAACTCACACAGCACTCTGGGTCTCTTTTAGGACACTAACTACCTTCTGGCTTATGCCTGAGTTATTTTTGGTGTGTGTCTCATACCTCCTAATAAACTGTGAGCTCATTCATTTATTCAGCCAGTTGTTAATGATACTATGTGCCAGGCATTGTTCGACGTCACCAGGAGGAAACGCCATTTTAACCATGTAATTATGTGTCTTAGCAACTTTGGTCAAGTATAGAGTCCGACACAGAGTAGATATCAGTAGATGTTTGTGCACAGTTGACAAATGGATGGATGGATGGATGGAGGAATGGGATCACTATAAAATGTGTGGGGTGAGGAAGTGAACTATTGGGCTACTGGGCTATGATGCTGAGCATTACTGTAGTGGATTAGGGTGGGCTATGAGCGCATCTGAAGTTTATGAAGCTCATGGAATGCTTATATCACTCACGGTTGCCAACTGACCATCACTGTGGGGTGTGAGTGTGGGACAGTGGTTGTGGAAAGGGGAACACAACTGTCCACTTCACTGTCCTGAGTCTTCTCTGTTCAAAGCAATGGAGCCCTGGTCACAAGCAACGACTACCCTTTCGTCGCACTGTGGTTCTCTCCCATCTTCTCTCAGAGGACCCTCCTCATTCCATATATCTGGTATTTTTTTCCCAGCCCCCTCTAAGCTGACATGGGGCTGAAGCACAGTTTATTTTATTCTTCTGGGTCCTTGGCTTTTCATTATCTTCTGGAAGCACTTTGAATAGGCAGTCCCAGGCAGGAGGGTATGAAGAGAGAGCCCAAAGCAAAACTTTTCTTTAGGTCTCTCTGTCTACAAAGCATGAACTTCTCCCACCTCTGCTGCTCAGTGTCAGCGCCCAGAGAATCAGCCAGAAGGGAAAGAGTTAACTGGGGCCTGCTTCTGGGACCCAGACCTGAGGCTGCATTCCTTCCTCCCAGAGATCTGCCAGGCTGAGGGGCCTGAGGCTAAATTTAGAAGGTAGCTAAGGTTTCCTGTTCACAGCTGTCCTGCCCCTCAAAAGAAGGAGCACCGAAGAGAGGAGGGAGGTTGGTCCCTCTCGCCTGTCGGAGTTTCTGGTCATTTCATCTGGGTCCCTCACCCTTGGGTGACCGCCCCTTGGTGTGGAGATACAGGCAGATCAGCGGTGAGTGGCTTCTCCGTTCATTTTGTCCTCTGAGCCCAGGACTTACAAGCAATGGGGCTGCAGCTCTGGCCTGGGAGTCAGGGCCCAGCCTTGTCTGGGACCAGCTCCTGGGGGATTGCATGTTCCTTAATAGCCTGTGGGAGGGCGCCTGGGCCAAAGGCAATGACTCCTGTGGCCTTGGTCAGAGACACTGAAGAAGGCCCCTCCCCTGGCAGACACAAAAGGTGTGTGTGTATGAGAGAGAGAGAGA